TAAGAGTATAAAACACCAACATACACGCTTTATATACCAAATGTACAGTAAACGTTTATTTTCTGAAGCCAATATCGTATGTCCCTCTAACCAACACATAATTGAATCCCAAGTTTGTATAAAACATTCAGACGTAAAACCGTGTTAAAAAAAAGCTCAGTGTCTTCATGCCCAACGATGGCAGAGGTCATCTGAGCTGGCAGAGGTCATCTGAGCTGGCAGAGGTCATCTGAGCTGGCAGCTCTGCAGCGGTGATGGACACTCCACGTTGCTAGCGGGCACTGGAGCCAGCGGCTCGAGAGCACGGCCACATGGAACTCTGCTTCACGGCCAACTCAATCGACGCATCGCGACAAGCGCGCTACAGAGAAGCCGTGAGCTGTGTTGCATCGCCTCGGCTCTTGGCTCACGCCAGGCAGCTCTGAGTCCCCCCTCGCCCCCCACTGGGTCCATCTCTCCCAATGGAACTGGACACCCAGCTCAGCTCCAGTTGAACTGGGAACTCAGCTCCAGTGGAACTGGGCACCCAGCTCAGCTCCAGTTGAACTGGGAACTCAGCTCCAGTGGAACTGGGCACCCAGCTCAGCTCCAGTTGAACTGGGAACTCAGCTCCAGTGGAACTGGGCACCCAGCTCAGCTCCAGGGCGACTGAGCCGAGCTCCGTTATTGCGCCGCTCCGCAGGCGTCGAGGGGCGAGGCGGCCCCGTCCTGGGATGCCCCCGGCCCCCAGGCCGCGCGAACCCCATCCCGGCTTCGGGCCCCGTTCCGTGCCCATCCCAACCGCGCCGCGCCGGCACCGTCCCGAGTCCCGCGGGCCACGCTGGGCCCCCCTCGCCCCCCTCGTCTCCGCGACGCCTCCTGGCCTCGCCTCCGACCAAGCCGTGACCGCGGTCCGCTCCCGGGTACCCCCCTCCCGGGTACCCCCCTCCTGCTGCTTCTCCCCGCCGCCTCCGCCTCCTCGTCCCGCTCAGCTCCGCGGTCCGCCCCGGGCCCCGCGCCCCCCGCCCCGGGCCCCAGGGCGACCCGCGCGGCGACGCGGCGCGCCCGCGCCTCGGCAAGCAGCAGCAGCCGCCTCCGCGCCCGCACGCACCGCAGGCGCCAGCGCAGCAGCGGGAGGTAGAAGGAGCTGACGAAGTGGCCGAACATCGCCGTGGTCTGCGTCAGGCAGAGCAGCAGCAGCTGCGCGCGGGACAATCGCCGCGCCACCGACTCCGCGTCCAACTCCATTCGGGTCGCGGGCAGCGCCAGGCCCCGGAGCGTGAATTGAGTCGTCGAGGGACCCCGGAGCGTGAATTGAGTCGTCGAGGGGCCCCGGAGCGTGAATTGAGTCGTCGAGGGGCCCCGGAGCGTGAATTGAGTCGTCGAGGGGCCCCGGAGCGTGAATTGAGTCGTCGAGGGGCCCCGGAGCGTGAATTGAGTCGTCGAGGGGCCCCGGAGCGTGAATTGAGTCGTCGAGGGGCCCCGGAGCGTGAATTGAGTCGTCGAGGGGCCCCTGAGCGTGAATTTAGTCGTCGAGGGGCCCCGGAGCGTGAATTGAGTCGTCGAGGGGCCCCGGAGCGTGAATTGAGTCGTCGAGGGGCCCCGGAGCGTGAATTGAGTCGTCGAGGGGCCCCGGAGCGTGAATTGAGTCGTCGAGGGGCCCCGGAGCGTGAATTGAGTCGTCGAGGGGCCCCGGAGCGTGAATTGAGTCGTCGAGGGGCCCCGGAGCGTGAATTGAGTCGTCGAGGGGCCCCGGAGCGTGAACTGAGTCGTCGAGAGGCCCCGGAGCGTGAATTGAGTCGTCGAGAGGCCCCGGAGCGTGAATTGAGTCGTCGAGGGGCCCCGGAGCGTGAACTGAGTCGTCGAGGAGCCCCGGAGCGTGAATTGAGTCGTCGAGGGGCCCCGGAGCGTGAATTGAGTCGTCGAGGGGCCCCGGAGCGTGAATTGAGTCGTCGAGGGGCCCCGGAGCGTGAACTGAGTCGTCGAGGGGCCCCAGAGCGTGAATTGAGTCGTCGAGGGGCCCCAGAGCGTGAATTGAGTCGTCGAGGGGCCCCGGAGCGTGAATTGAGTGGTCGAGGGGCCCCGGAGCGTGAATTGAGTCGTCGAGGGGCCCCGGAGCGTGAATTGAGTCGTCGAGGGGCCCCGGAGCGTGAATTGAGTCGTCGAGGGGCCCCAGAGCGTGAATTGAGTCGTCGAGGGGCCCCGGAGCGTGAATTGAGTCGTCGAGGGGCCCCAGAGCGTGAATTGAGTCGTCGAGGGGCCCCAGAGCGTGAATTGAGTCGTCGAGGGGCCCCGGAGCGTGAACTGAGTCGTCGAGGGGACCCGGAGCGTGAATTGAGTCGTCGAGGGGCCCCGGAGCGTGAATTGAGTCGTCGAGGGGCCCCGGAGCGTGAATTGAGTCGTCGAGGGGCCCCAGAGCGTGAATTGAGTCGTCGAGGGGCCCCGGAGCGTGAATTGAGTCGTCGAGGGGCCCCGGAGCGTGAATTGAGTCGGCGAGGGGCCCCGGAGCGTGAATTGAGTCGTCGAGGGGCCCCGGAGCGTGAATTGAGTCGTCGAGGGGCCCCGGAGCGTGAATTGAGTCGTCGAGGGGCCCCGGAGCGTGAATTGAGTCGTCGAGGGGCCCCGGAGCGTGAATTGAGTCGTCGGGGGGCCCCGGAGCGTGAATTGAGTCGTCGAGGGGCCCCGGAGCGTGAATTGAGTCGTCGAGGGGCCCCGGAGCGTGAATTGAGTCGTCGAGGGGCCCCGGAGCGTGAATTGAGTCGTCGGGGGGCCCCGGAGCGTGAATTGAGTCGTCGGGGGGCCCCGGAGCGTGAATTGAGGCGTCGGGGGGCCCCGGAGCGTGAATTGAGTCGTCGGGGGGCCCCGGAGCGTGAATTGAGTCGTCGGGGGGCCCCGGAGCGTGAATTGAGTCGTCGGGGGGCCCCGGAGCGTGAATTGAGCTTGTTCATTGGGGCAGCCTGGCCAGGTGGTTGCTGTGTGCGCATGGAGCCGCAATCAGAATTAGAAATCGATTCGCTGTTGGTCTCGTTGAGGCTACGTGCCATGTATTTGCACTGCTTCCACATCACCGTTGATTGTACTGCCGGAGCTGTGGTGCTGGTGGTGAACGTGAAAAGTTGCGTTCGAGACACGGTTAAGCCCACATTCGTTTTTAGTGTAATCAACGTCCAACTGGTGTCGAACAGCCCCAGGGGATACACAGCGCCATATACAGCGTGCTTCACAAACACGTGAACACTTTTGAGAATACTCTTTGGTTCTTTCGGTAAAGAACCAAAGAGTATGGATCCCTGCAGTCACGAAAACTTCGAATCTACTTTTGAGAGTTTTCAATAATACCGCAAGAAATGTGCCTCCGCGCACTGGAGACCACCTGGAGAAGATTGTGTTGACAATGATGGTGAACAAGTGGAGACCCTTTGAAGTTATTAACATACATTTATTAGTGTATTATCCGTTGTTTTTCCATTATAAACGATAGTCCCATAATAAGTGTTAACATTTTTTTAAAGCACCCAACATTAGGGCAGTCGGCAGTTTCACGCCTCGTTGTTGAGCGACAACTTTGCTCGCTCCGTCGGCCCCACCGTGTCCTCTTTAGGCCCCGCACCTTCCGGCGTTGACACGGCGGAGTTGACACGGAGGGTCGTGGAGGGGTTGTGAAGGGGGCCCCAGGAAACGTGGGTAGCCCCAGGAAACGTGGCTAGCCCCAGGAAACGTGGGTGGCCCCAGGAAACGTGGGTAGCCCCAGGAAACGTGGGTAGCCCCAGTGAACGTGGGTGGCCCCAGGAAACGTGGGTGGCCCCAGGAAACGTGGGTAGCCCCAGGAAACGTGGGTAGCGGTATTCGTGGCGGGTCGTGTCAGTAGGTGAGGCGGCTTCACAACTTGCCGAGAACCCTCTTCGAGCAGCAATATAGGATTTCAACTGACATGGAGAGCATGTTACTAGAGTGAATTATGTCATATATAAGAAAATGCTATCCCCTATAGAAGTGTTATTTAAGCATTAGGTTGCATTTTTTTCGAGTTTTGGTTTCGAAATTTCATATTCGCTTTCCCATACCAATTCCACTTTTAGGTAGTTTTTTTTTTACCTTGACCAAAAATATGTTCACATGATCTTCAAGTTATAAATGTTTTAGTTGTATTATTGTTGTTCTTGTTTATCCAGGGAAGCCTCACTGAGTCTCACAATGGTCCTGCCAAGTTTTCGCAACAAGGGACAATGATTGCAATGTTTCTTCCACTTCATGTTTTACATTTGGCTAATCTGAACCATGAGGCCGGCACACTAATTATCTGATAATTACTCTTGATAACTCGTGACTCGTTACACTACCTGTTTAACAATGTGCTGTGCACTGTTTCCAGACGTGTATTTCATTTCGAAGCCTTGAAAACCCAAAACCGTTGAACACTCGTAGAATTATTCAATTATCAAATGTTCAGATCTAATAGAATGGAATGTTGCGCGCTATGATCATATAACCACACAACATACCGTCCAATTTCATAATAATACAACACTTATAATACTGTAGTTTTCATCTCAGCATTTCATGGGGCTTTTAGGTTGATGTACACAGACTAATACTGTTGTCTGATCCACACTAAATTCCAAATGTATGTCAACTACATATGTGTTGCGCCATACCAAGGCGCTGTAGGTTGCTTTACCTGCCACCACGCTCACGGGCCGACAGGGGGCAGCCGAGAGACAGAACGAGGTGTGTCGGGGTTGACCCAAGGTCAACCCCCCCCCCCCCCCCCGGGTGGCCCGTGACCGGAGGTTGACCGGAGGTTGACACCCCAGGCCCCCAAAGACTGGGGGCTGGGGGGGATAGGGGCCACCGGCTGATTTTAAGGCCCTTTAAGATTTAAGACCCTTTAAGACCTTTTCAGAACCTCCCAGACATTTCTGGAAGGTTCTGGAGAAGGGGTGATGAGGCAAGGGGTAAACCCCTGACCTGGGGATAAAAGCCGGCCCTCTGAACGGGTCCGGCAGTGTTCGCCTACTCAAGCCTGAAGCCGTCCGAAGATCTGAAGACTGGAGCAGCACCCTGGGACCCTCCCCGAGGCTCTTGTCAGAGCCGGGTTGTAGCGGACCGGTGGTGGGACCCTGGGTCGGGTCGGTCTCGCCTCCCTTAGCGGCCGTGGCCAGAGACCTGGGTGTAGAGTAGCCCGGGGTAGTGTGTAGGACACACGAGAAGGGATACTGTACCTCCCTTAGGCTATCGGGTTGAAGGGGCCGTACCCCTTCGTATTACAGTCGCTGTCCGTTGAGTCTGTTGTAATAACCGCGTTGCCTCCATATATACGTCTCCGTGTAGTTAGTTAGACACAACCTATGCCTGCGGGGATATTGGGTTAGACCAATGCAGTTCAGCAGAGGCAAGGTTTAGCCGAGCGAGCGAGCAAGGCATGGGGCCACGATTGTTATAGCACACACGGGAGACTTGTTGATGATACATTCAGTCACCGATTAAAGGCGATCCTCGCGTTCATGGTGGATGAATTAAAGCGTGCATTTAAGAATCGATCATTTATGAAATACACAAACCATATGCAAATGGTTTGTGTATTTTAGCAAACAAAAGTACAAAAATGCAGAGCAAGAAACAATGCAAACGAGATGGTACAAAGGATGCAAAAATCAAATTTTCTTAATTTGAATCATGATCTCGGATCGTAACAACTTGATTTCTGTGGGGGATATATTGTTACAGGTATTGTTACAGGTATTGCTTCGAGCACTGTTGTCATATTAATACAGTAATGTATTCGAGGTGCTTTTACCTGTGGGATTGTGGTATTACAGAGCACACAATAAATTATCACAATATTTGACAGTCATAGCGCTCGCTAAACTGCAACTAAGTGCGATGCTCGATCATGTCACTCGGGGTTACATCGCAATTCCTTACAGACTGCATAAGTAGGACAACCTATTTTTAATTTAGGGTGTCAAGTGCCTCGGGTTACTCTTTATTCTGTACCTATAAAACAGCATGAGACACAATTCAAGAAAATGGACCTGCTGTGCAACATTAACTTGAATATTTAAATTGGAAAATTCTACATAAAACAATTGCAAAGAGTGGTCTATTACAGTATATCATGAAATATTTAAACGTTTATTCGTAATGTCATTTTTGTAATGTGTATATTGTTACGTATTCATATAAGGTACTATACAGTACAGTAATACTGAAATTGTAAGTGTTCATAACTAGGACTACGCAATGAAACCATTAAAAACGTCTTTGTAGTCACTGAAATTGGAATGTTCAGTAACGTATCCATATTTACGCATCTGAGTATAAAACACGTGAGAAAATGTGTAAACCTTTAGTAACAAGTGGAATCTTCACTGATTAATATACGTCGTTCAAGTAATGCAAGTTTAACAGGTTCTAAATATCAAGTTATAACGACTATGTTCGATATGAGGCGCTTAATACGTAGTCTTCATCGCAATACTATTGCAATTGCCAGATTTTAAGACACTCTGGAAATATACTCTGCTTTAAAATACAGGATGGGGGGGGGGGGGGTGCATCTTTTAATCTTGAGGATACAAAATATAAACAGTGGGACATGCAATAACATAAGTGTTGAAAATATTCCATAAAAAGGTGATAACACAGGCAAAATACCGTGAAGCGAATTAAATATAATCAAGGAATGGGGGTAGCAAGAGTACTGTGCTCGACTTGTGTTCGAAAAGGGGCCAGCCAGCAACACCAGGGTACTGCATCTTCAGCTGCACATGGGGATAAATGTGTGAACACGTGGAGAGAAATGCTGTGCTCTGGAGCAGCAGCAGCAGGGAACCCAGTGGACTGCCGGGTGCTGTGCCCCTGTAATGGATGCCAACCTCAGCTGAGTCGATCACAAGAAACTGGTTTCCCACTCGGGCTGTACATCTTCCGTTTTGAGTTGAAGGTAGAACAAGCCACCTTCCCTGCATGTGCCATCCACACCAACGCACAGAACACACCGCACACGTATCACTTTGCTCATTACGATGTCTATTTTGTGCGTATTCTTTGGGTCTTTCGGTAAAGTCACGTAGATAGAACAATAAAATAAAAATTAATTAAAAGAAAGTGAATAAAAAATAATAAAAAATATCACGACGTTTCGATCGCAACACAAGCAATCGTCACCATGAAGTGGGTGGGGCTAGTGGTGTTAAAGTGAGAGAGATTAGCATGTCAATGTAAGAGATTAGCATGTCAATGTAAACGGCGGCTGTGTTAGTGTTAACCTGTTAATATAAAATCAGAGAGTCGAAAATAACTAATAACATCAAAGGTAGGATGGAAACATCACAGTCAGTTAAGACTTTACCTGGTTAATAACAAGTCTTAACTGACTGTGATGTTTCCATCCTGCCTGCCTATGTCAGCTGTTATTTCCGACTCTGTGTGTCCTTCTCCCTCTCTCTGTGCATCTCTCTCCGATCTCTACTCCAGTGACCCGGGTGCTGCTGCGGGGTCCACTTTCTGCCCCGCCTCCTTCCCCCCCCCCCTCTTCTCTCTCCCCCCCCCCCTACTGCCGAGGCTTATATAACCTCGTGCCACGGCAGATCTCTCGCCTACTTCAGAAGTTTTTTCTTGCTGTGGTTGTCCCACCTGATGACGATTGCTTGTGTTGCGATCGAAATGTCGTGATCTATTATTTTTCTACCTACGCGAGTTTACCGAAATACCCAAAGGGTAAAGATTTAGTTTATTTAAGACACAGTACTGTAATCATCACAATTGACAACCCTTCAATTTCTGCTGGATTTAAAGCCTATGCACACTGTGAGTTTTTGGGGTTGAATGACCATTCTTCACCACGTTGGTCAATGCAGGTTAATAAAGGGGTGAGGAGGGTGGGTTCGGACCAGTTAAGATATAATTTGCCCCAAATATTAGCCGTGACCCAGAAATTATAGTCGCCGGGTTAATCGCTTAGTGTGCTAACCACGGTGTCATCACTCCCCCCACGTTAATTATCGTAACATATATGTCTGCATTTCAAATTCAAGTGTATGAGGTGCGGTCTCACATACCTGTCTGACTCAGTTTTGTCCTCTGGATCTGCCGTGCTGCTCACATCCACGCGCACATTTGTGTGCACACTGTTGTGTATCTTGTTGCGTCTATCACAAAACTGCTCGCTCGTTTGATCGTATGCCTATTCGGACAACAAGCGACAGGGCAAGGAACCAGAGCAGTGGTAAAGGGCAGAGGGACAGCAGACAGGAAAAAACAGATAGAAACAGATTCCAGAGCTACTCCTTCATTGTAAGATATCATCCGTGTTCTGCCCACTGTTAGATGAAGGCCTCCCCACATCGCCATCTTGCAGTCTCACCATCCATCCTGCTCCTGCACCTGAACTGATATCATGGCTCCATCTCAACAGAGATTATTTGCCCGACCGATTTACTCCTTTTCCTGCCATTCCATCGCCGGTCTCATCCATCGCCCAGCAACCATTTTTGCAGTTAACATGATTTCTCTACTTACTTTTTTTCTCAGCTCCATGTTTTCCCCTTTCTGTATCTTGGTATAATTGACAGCATGCATTAGTCCAGGACAATGGACTTTCAAGCATTATTTCCATTTGCTTTGGCAGATTTGATGTTTTTGATTCATGTTACAGTTAGCAGAAGACACTGAAAACGTTTATAGGCACATCAGTATACTTTTTTTCATGATCGAGATCAGCTTTTTTATTAAACGCTTCATCCAGCTCTTCATCATTAAAAAAAAATCATATTGATCAAAGTCCACTTTACACGGCTGCGCTTATTATACACATACTGCTGTGTTTTCAAGATATACCCCTTCAAATGTAATTTTTTTTTAGAAAATTTGCTCATGTTTACGAATCCAACTTTTCGGCCTTGTTTGCACAGTTAACTTATTTCATGAATTTAATTTAGCCTTGGGTTTGGTGTTTCTAAATTGTAGAAACACCGCTATCGTAGTCACGCGTTTCTACAACAAATATAAACATGTGGTACCTGTAAGTATGTCGGTGGTAGAAGCTTTCCCACTGTTTTCACGAGCTGGGAGAATGTGGGTCTTTGGGATGCCCTGAGTGCCCAGCAAGCCTTCATTATTTCAAACCTGACTCAATCACATGCACAGTCACAGCCAGATTAGGGAACTTCAGCAATGGTCCACAGGCACAAGTCACAAAAACTCAACAAAGTGTCTGTAGCACTGCCCTAAAGAGGAAAATAATGGTCAGTGCCGAAAACGTTGCACATTATCTACGTGTATTACCTGTGTAGGGTAGTATTGGCGAAAGTGTTGAGTTTTTATTGTGACCCTATTCCACCACTGTCAAATCATGTTTCCACGAGCACACTGCCATACTATTTGAAATTCTTACGATATCGGAAGTGCTGAGTGGAGAGCCATTGGCATGAAAAGGGAATGCTCTAGGCCAGGCAAGGGTTTGAGTGGAGTGCTCAGGTTGGGGTGCTTTGCGGTAGACACAATGTCGAAATGGGGAAGGCGGCACGCCCTTCCTTGGTCCTGACCCTGAATGAATAAAAAGCCCACGTCTAATTCACCCTTTACTTGAAGTTCTGTGGGAAAATATTATTTACATTGTGTGGGTATACATGGAGTGTAAAATCGCACTTTGTTCAGATTTACGTTGGTTTGTTGTCATCATTGTTGTGATATAATCCACATTCAGATGGCTGCAATAACCTCATGCAATGCATCATGATCAGTATTGAGGTTCACACATTTCATAAAGTAAGATTATATTCTTTGGGTCTTTTGGTAAAGCCACGTAGATAGATCAAATAAAAAATAATAAAAATAAAAATATAAATAATAAAAAGAATAACAATATCACGACGTTTCAATCGTAACACAATCAATCGTCATCAGGTGAGAAATATCGCGGGAGAGCTGCTGAGAATCAATGCAAGATTACTTGTGTTATTATTAGCAGCAGTATTCGCATGTTACCGTCACATGGACATCTCTTTTAAAACTGCCAACCATGCCAGCATGGCTCTGTAAACCAATTTTATTTCCCAGAGTAGAATTAGTCAAGCGAAGGCAAACAAAAATGACCGATTTCTGTAGTCGGTCGCGATGGGACGTTTAAAACAGATGACATCCACTGCAAGGGGTAACGTATAAAGTTTTCCGTAATAATTTTTGTCTATTAATTTAATATAAACTATATTAATTATAAAGTAGGAAATTCCAGGGTCCCCACACGTATGTTGTCATGATATTTTTTTCTGTACTCTCATCCTAATTCGCTACCTACACAGTTACCACAATGCGTCGCACTACGAGTACTCACAGGTCTTCCGTCGCATGTTCTGGTTTGTCCATATGAAGTCCAGCTTTCAGCTGCCCATAAAAGTGTGCATCAATTGCCATTCCAGGGTAAGGACTGCCTCCTAGAAATAATTTATCATCACCGTCATCATCATCACCATCATCATCGTCATCATCATCATCATCGTCATCCTCCCAGCGGCTTCTGGCTGACCATCGAACAAAGACGGTCACCGCATCGCGCACTTTCAGATGCGCTTCTGCGGCCTTCTAGAACACTCTTCAGATATTAAGCTATTGGAGTTATACATTTAAAAATAATCTAGATTGAAAACTGTTTTCTAAAGAACTGCTTTTTATGTTTAGTTTGTTGTTCTTCTCCAGCACCTCTGATTAGCTCGGTTGGCTACGTACGGTGCGAAAACAGTTCAACATACATTGTCGTCGCATGTGCATTGGTAATTCTAAGTAAATACACGTCAAGGGGTGTATGCAATACTCACATTTCCAATGTCATAAGGCATATTTAACATAGGAACCTTTACAGTTATATGAAAACTACACTCCATAGCACCAACAATACAGTATTCTGTAACAAAAACAATATTTTCTAGTATAGGGATTGGAGCTAGGAGTTGATGACAGGTTTCACTCGCGATTTCACGATTGCAACTGGCAGAGCGCTTTTACATTCACGCGCCAAAAATAGACGCATCGGAAATTGGCCAGCCAGGGAAGCGATAATCCAAAATTGGCAATTGGAGGGCACGATTTCACTAGCGCATCTCAACTGTTCATCTAGCCCAGGGGACAGTAAAAAAAACCCTCAATATTTCAAGAGCTGCAACGCAGAGCGATGGTCTATAATGAATATCGTCAAGAAGCAATCCTTAAAGAGTTGCATGTGGCTCTGGGACCGCAGGTTGCTGACCCCTGCTCTAGCCCAACTACCCAGGGCCCACTTAGTTCATAACTGATCATGTATTTGTGAATGTGTTTACTTTCACCTATCATAGTTGACCAGCCTTGAAATAGCATTTTATATGTGATAGCATTACACGAAATGACATTTGTGAGTGTGGTATTCGGATATAAGTGTGTGTTCACATACCGAGCGAGAATATTTCCCACAACAGCACACCGTAGGACCACACGTCGCTGAGTGTTGTGTACACGTTGTCAAATATACTCTCTGGGGCCATCCACTTCACCGGCAGGAACGTCTGCACACACACACAGAGACGTTACGACTTTGTCTCGTTAAAAGTTACATTCTTGATCCATCCGTTCCCCCTCTTTCAGTGTCAGTCTAATTCCAAGCATGACTTCAGTGACTGTCGAGGTATAGTGAACTAATTGCGTAGGGCATACAGCATACTGGTTAAAATGAATCGATTCTTACACGTGTGATAGGATGCTTGCATCATGAGCGTAATAATGTATTTGAATAGATTCATCTATGCACTATTATATGCCTATGTGTAATGGCAATAACATTATTTCATAAAATGTAAAAAAAAATGTAAGTCTTGTGCATTTTTCGTGAATGTCCAAATATTTGATTACATGTGCATACATATGTACAAACAAAGACACCCCCGTTTTAGCCTGAACAGACTGTTGGGGCAAGTTTTGTTCGCGAGCACCTATTAAGGCCGGCACGGCACACAAGGGGGTAGGTGACCAGATCCACACCCGATCGCCTTTGTCCCCCAGTGCTCATGTTTACACACCGCACGAGCTACTTACGACCTTGGGGAGGCCCTGAACCAGTTAAAATACTCACCACATTTGTTAGTCGTGAGCAGGAATTGAACTCCACTCACCGGGTTCATAGCACATTGCGCAAACCACTACACTTCTGCCCCCCCCACACACACACGTGCAATGAAAGTTATGTTTTGTACATACATTGCCCCTGGATATGTAATTGGTGTCTTTCTCCAGATCTCTCGCCAGTCCAAAGTCACAAATTTTGACCACTCGGTGGTTTGCGAGCAGCACGTTACGGGCAGCCAGGTCTCTGTGTACGCACTGTCGCATACAAACACAGTAACACACGTGTTATACCCTATATGGTTCCATGTATGTGGCATTTTTGAGAGCCTATTAAGGCTGGCACAGCACATGGTGCATTTTAACGAGCACCTCATCCATCTGCCTTTATCCTTTCAACACTGAAGCTTACACAGCCAAGAGGATACATTACTGAGTTTAGACTGGTTCTACCAACTAGCCTTGGTACTATGCAAGGCACAGGATCGATCCATAGTATTTGGGATAGTGATACATTGTGTTATTGACGACAGCACTGCTCCTGATATGACATTAGTTTGATGCTTTTCTAACAAGTTGGGTAGCTGACAAATTTGTTCGAGCGCAGTTCTTCGATCGTACACAAGTATGCCTTGGGTATGCCACCCAAGCGTCACATGATCCTGAGATTTCAATGCATAAGTGGGAAACAAGTATGACAAGTGGGCGCACGTGTTTCTTGTTTTGGCTGAAGCCCAAGCTCTTATTTTGGCGCATCAGTACCAAAATATACAATATAAGGCCCCACATTAGATTAGTTAATAATAATAAGTGCTATGACAAATAGAACTTCAGCAAATCGTAGAGTGTTCACGTGGAGTGAATACTTATTCAGTACATGTGTGGTGTTAATGTTTGAAGTTCGAACACAGTTAGGTATAGGTCTGATGATTGTTTTGAATATCAGACGTACATTTTTGGAGGCAAGGAACGCCATGCCCTGTGCCACCTGGTAGGCACAGCTCAGGAGGTCTGTCGACGTGAGGGGCGACGCGCCATCAAGTTCACAGCAGGCATAGAATGGTTCGTCTGTAACAATACACAAGCCATGACCAGAATGTCATAAATGCAACAGTTCACGGGCCCATCCGTGAGTTAAGCACACATTATTCTCGGCCTATCAACAATGAACATGCATTGTGTGAATGCACATATTCTTACCATCTCTTTGGGTATCCATATAATAGACCCCATCCACCACTGTGTATAGAACGCGATCTACACGTGCTTCAGAACGCACGTAATTGTCATCATCTCCCGGCCTCATATCCATATACATGCTCTCAGCACATGTAGAGCTATACACACACACACACGCGGGTGTGCGTACACGTGAGCACAACCAGAACATCCGTACTTATATACAGAATCGCATTATTTCATGTTTTGTAATCACAATGAAATGTAATACTGCAATGTACAGCTCTTTGTAAATCCACTATTGAATGAAGGGCTTCCCCATTTCATATCAGTCATGGGTTTGTTTGACCTTACTTCAGCACGCTTGGTTGGCGCAGGTTAGTGGAGGTTGTAAGCCGAGACCGTTTTTGATTTCACTCGCCACTGATATCAGCTCGTGGCTGTGAATCGTACTTAGGTCGCTGGGTTCATAGCACCGTGCCATTAACAGCCCCATCAGCCTAACCACCCACACTACTCTCGACGTGAAGTGTGGTGGCAACGGACATCTCCGTGGGCAGCTCACCTTGCTGCAGGCCTCTTGAGCGATTGCTGAGCATCCTTTAGCCAGTGAAGGTACGCATACTTGTTCCTGTGCAGGAAGTTCACCAGATCACCGTGGCAACAGAACTCGGTAATTATGTAGACAGGACCTGTGGGGTCATTGTTATTATCGTTATTTTCTATCTTCTATAAATATGAATGGCACAATTCGCTATTGTAAAATGTCCATTTTAAAAACGAGCATCTCCTGCTCCCGTTGGCAAGTTACAGCACAACACATCATTTGTGCATCACGACACCTCAAGATCTCAGTGAATGAACTCACATTCCCAGATACGTTTGAAGATGATGGCATAAATATTTAAATGACTGTACTCACAAAAATTGTCATGCATTTTTAGTTGAAGTTGGTGGCTATAAATAGGAATGTGAATGAGCAAACAAATCATAATTAATTGCTCGTGATTTATTTGGTTAAAGGAACAGGCTTCCCATTGCTTACTCAGGGCCTCCACTCCAGGAAGCTCTCGAGAGCCCCTCTCTAGGGCAATGTGAACACTCTCCCACACTGGCTCGCTGACTCGGAAGAGGTGGCAGTGCTCAAACTTTACACCACCACACTGTCCCCAACTTTACCCCTGCCAATAGACCAACTATGGTGCACCCATTTATACTGCTGGGTGGACAGAGGCAGTGGAGGGGGGGGGGGATTTCAGAAACTTGCCCATTGTTTCACCTGCCAGGCCGGGAGATCAAACCAGCAAAACTCTGCATTGCAAGTCTATTTTGCGATCCATTCTGCCATGGCTGTATCCGGTGATTTCATCATCATTATCATCAGCCCTGGTCAATTCACTGCTAAATAAGAATGCAATTTATAAAGCACGCAACATTTCACGGAGATAAATGACCGCGACTCTTAAGGCGCGGAGCCAAGCTTAATGTCGCGCGAAAGCCAGGTGAAGAGGTGGGGCCTTTAAGTGTCTTAAAAGTCGGCGTAGGTTGAACGCTGCTGCGAATGTGCAGCAGCGGAATGGCGTTCCAGACGGCGGGGGCTGCCACGGAGAAACGACGCCCGGCAGTGACCATGGTCCTTGGTGTAGAGAAGAGGAGGTTGTGAGTCGCGCTGCTACGGAGAGTTCTACCGTGAGGTGTAATGCGGGGCGACAGGAGAGCGAAGAGAGATAACGGTGGACGACTGAAAATAGAGGAGCAGCGGCACAGGCAGGCAGGATGAAGGCCTCCCCAAGCTGCTGCCACCTCTGCAATGTAATAATCCACCTAGCACTCGCACATGAACTGCTTTCATCGCTCCACCTCCTTGGTGTTTACACAAAGAAACGTAAAGTCGTCTTGCCTCCCACAGTGCAGGCCCCCAACAGGTTGACGATGTTGAGATGTGCGCCCAGGTGGCTCATGATCTTCAGCTCAGACATCAGCGCTCTCCTTTCACTCATGGACGAGTTGGCTGAGAGACACAACGACCCATGCACACAAAGACTATATCATCATCATCATCATCAGTAGCAGCTGTGATCTGTTGGCTGCAGGATGAAGGGCTCGCCAAGCCGTCGCCATCTCTCGCGGTCCTACGATGCAACTATCCATGTGACATCCGCACAGATTTCGTCGTTCCATCTCGGACATCCTCTAGGGCGTGTTCCCTCTTTTGGATGCGACACAATTATTCATACAAGTGCAAAACCTTACACACTTGCGAGTTGATATCGTGGTCTGCACTATAAATCAGGAGATCTTCATTGATTCCCACGCATGGCAAACATTATTGGTGAGTGATATCTATAAATGAAAACTATAAACATTTTTTTTTTTTACCAGGTAATGCCCACTGAGATAGACAGCTCTTTTGAGAAGCGATCTGGCCACAAATTATAGCTCAACGAAGTGGCTTGTCATGTGGGAATTTCTACTGTAGCAGCCAAATACTCTAAACGCATGCTAATTCTAAATGTGGAGGGAAAAACCGGAGGACCCTGAGAAAATCGAACCCACAACCTCCTGTATACCAGGCGAGGTAGTTAACATCTCCTAGCCACCGTGGCACCCCTAAACCATTCCTCAGCGCATCCCCTTCAGTAACCCATATTGACCTGCATGGTGAGGTACGGTCAAAGGATCCCTTCATTTGTTGTCAGGCATACAAAACCCAAGGCTGAAATATCACATTCCTGCGGAGGGAGCTGGTAGGAACGTTGGGTTGCTCGGTCAATGGCCAGGGTTAACAGCGGCGTGGTGTATTTCACAAATATGGCCGACTGTGAGGGCGGGCAGAAGCCGGCGTGAGTAGGTTAAACGTTGAGTTTTATAAGGGCACCACGGGGTGACCAGCCCCTCCCCTCCCCACCCAACCCTACCCCTCCCAACCCCCACCCAGCCCCACCCTCCCCACCCAGCCCCTCCCCACCCTCCCCTCCCTACCCAGCCCCTCCCCACCCTCCCCTCTCCACCCAGCCCCACCCCTCCCATTTTTGAATGCACGACGAACGGACGGACACAATAATCCCCTGTGGGCTGGTGGAACCAGGTGGATCCTACCAGTATCACCTGCAAATGACTCAATTTATATTAGACGTAGCAACCCTGCCCCCGACTGCGGAAACGCAGCAGGACCCTCCTGCAAAGGAGTCTTGAGACTCAGCGAGGCTATCCTGGGTAAACAATCATACAGAACGAAAATAATTTAGAAAAATAATATGCAATCTCATTTGTTCAAATGGGCTGCTATTGTGGAGCCACTTCAGATGTTCCCCTATGTTACTGTCACTCTTGTTGCGATAGTAACAGTGATAGTAACTATAAACAAATATGATTAGTAATTTATGTTTTGCGTTAGGCCACATAATAACCTGGCCAAACTTGTGGCATAAGTTCTTCAAGCACCCGACAAAGCCAAACATGAAATTTTAATGTGTACTGTACAAGTGTTTCACACGCCAGTAAGTTTAGAAGAATTATCACTACCAAATTTAGCAATTAGACATAACGCGTCGCTTAAAACTGTGCCAAGCATCTTCAGGGCAAAATCGAGGAAGTCAGAATGTGGCCTTATCCAAAAATCAATTGTTGAATCATCATATTGTTGTGTATGTCGGAGAAACGGCGGTGTTGTTTTTTGTTGATGAAACCCGATTTAAGAGTTAATTGGCTCACAGGGTAATTCAAAATCATCTGAAACTGAACTGATATTGGCTGTAAAAGCGTACATGTTAAATTATCTTCTTGGTTCTTTCGGTAAAGTCACGTAGAATTTCCATTCTACCGAAAGAACCAAGAAGATGAATCCCTGCAGTCACGAAAGCTTTAAATCGAAATGTAAAATTATATTATATAGAGGGATTGCTGACACTGTATTTTCTAAGTTCATTTAAATTGACCTTTATATTAATGTACTTTTACAATGTTTTCACAATTATATGTGGATTTGGTAAACGTGTTTTTATTGTGTATGTATGCACGTGCATGCGCGAGAATGTTACCTTTAAGCATTTTGACAGCCACGCACGGAGTTTCCGTGCCCTGTATGCTTGCCTCAACCACTTTACCAAATGCGCCACAACCCAGGACCCGACCTGTTCGAAGAGGGATGATAATAATCACAAGCATGCCTGATAAATTATGTTAGCCCACCTATCCAGGATTCAGGGCTTTCCATAGCTCTCAAATTTCAATTCGGGGATGAGAGATTGGCCAGCTTTGTCGCTTCGGAGGGAGGGCTCAGCCCCCCTTCCTACAATATTGAACACCAGTGGTGGTTTTTACTCAAGGTTCTCCTTAACAACGGCTAACTTTGCGAGCGAGAGCAGAATGCAAGATAGATGAAAGCAAATCACATCCTTACCAATGCTGTTTGGTGTTTAATATGTTTAGCGCTTGTTTAACATTTATTGTGTCGTGCCCCCCCCACCACCACCACCCTGAGTGTTTTAATGCTTCATTTTAAACTAGGTCACGCTACAGGGCTGGGATGGACCAAGGTCCTGGGAAGCCCTGTCTGCCCTGAACCGACTGTGAGAAATACAGGGTAGGCTGCTGCTGCTCGATCAGCTGCCAAGTTACAGGGAAGATGAGAGTGGGGTCCGGAGTAAGTTGTAATTGTGTATGTTGAACTCCTTTCACACTGTACGTGGCTAATCGGACTTGCACAGTTAGGGGTGGCTCAGATGGCCCTGGGTTAAGGTCCAGTAAGCTCTTAATTCGAACCTGAATATTGAATATACTTAGAGATGAAAAGTTTGCACAATTTGTTATAATTTCACATTCTGCAAAGTTTCACCAAGTTTAATTTTTTTTTAGAATGTAAGTGTGAATTCTTTTGGTTTGTTTTCACTTAAAGTAAAGTGAATTTTTAAAATAAAATTCAGAAGCAATAAGTACGTATAATAGTGCACAATTAATATGCTACACCAGCTTTTTTTAATTACATGTTATTTAAATACATATTTATACGGTGGATGCATATATTGAAATATATGTTTATGAGCATGAAATTACGTAATCTGATAATATTATTAGTTAATTTAATAATATTAATGAACTGAATACATACAAATGGCATCAGTTGTCTATACAGCATCACAAATCATATCTCACAGAAAGTTCATCACGGACTTACTTTGGTCACTTAAGTCATGGTGGGGAATTCCCCTTTGCATTTGATTTCCCCGTGTATTTGTTTTCCGTCATACTGTGTACATGCCTGGAACATTGCCTTTCCCAATGGGTTGATGAGTGAATGTGTACGTGCTTACATTGACTACGCTTGTGAACGGGTTTATACACCAAAGGATGTTTTGTGATGGCAGCTTACGTGTTTTTTATTTCTAGGATTTGCTGGCGTTGCCATACTGAACAAACGTCACGTTTCACATTCAACGCAATTTCTCTGATAGGTTTACTAACACTATTGAGCATGACGTTGTCTGGTAAAGGTGCAGCCCTGCAATTATTTGCTCACACCACTGCCGGCAGAAGGGCCTCAACTGGATGATATTTTGGGCTACTCTTCCACACTCGTTTCTTCACAACTGCTTCTGTGTTTAGTTTGCTTGGCTTTCCCCCGCACCTCTGATCAGCAAAGTTGGCTACGTACGGTGCGACAGAAGTTCAACATGCATTCATGCTGGCCAGGTGTCTTGGTGGGAGCACCCACACGTTACCCCACCAAACGCGACATGCCAGTCAACAAACAGTGGTGTCCACATTTATACCGCTGGATGGACTGAGGGAATGAGAGGGGGAATTTACGAAATATTCCCCGTTGTTTAATTGCCCATGGAGATCAAACTAGCAATATATGGGCGTCACACCCAAAGTTCTAACCGTTACGCCACGGCACCATCCCAAACGCCGTTAAAACGTGATGCAACATGACGGTGAGATCTTCCTTTCCTGTCGGTGATGGTGTCTCTGTGCGTTCGTACCAAATTTCAGAGTGCTTCGGGGAACTTCCCAGCGTCGGTCATACAGGAGTTGCATCGGGTCCACGTACGTGTACTCGCACCCGTCTGGGCTCACCGACTCGATCACTTTCCACCGCACCTCGTAACGTGGTTTCTGCGCAGGCAAAGCCACGCATTCATCGCACGGACGCACACACACACACACGTGAGAAAAAGAGCCAGTGGCACGCTTCCCGCAGCTGCATCGCAGTGGGCAGAGTGCACACTGCATGGTGGATTAGAGAACATGTGCAAGTTAAATGCATCATATTGGTTGTAGAGTTCATTGAAACAGTTTATTGAAACATGTGTGTAATCCGTAATGTGTTTGTGCTGGTGTCAACCCCCTTACATATCTTCTGTGTTATGTACCTGCATCGTTTTGTTTATAAAATACTTTTGGGAAAAAACCCCCATCATATTCTCTCTAAAGAAAATTAACACAAACTCAATGCATTCATCAATAATGCTGATCTAAAATGAAAATATGTATATACTGTATATAATAGGTGACGTGTTGCGCCAAGGCTCTTCTTGCCATTTATTCCCGTTGCTATAATAATGCTATTAAATCTAATTTTAGGTGTTGTGATCTTGCAAAGATAGTTGATTAGTAATGCCATGGTAACGTGATCGGTTAAGAGCAATAATGAAACATTAATATTCTATAATCTGTAATATTCTTAAGTTATTTATTTCTATTGCTATTTGTGTTTGTGGTAATATAAGTATTAGACCATGACTGAAAAAGAGCGTTGTATTGGACAAGTATCGTCCTTTATAGACATGGAAAAATAATGGAGATCAACAAATATCCACTAACCGCCTTCCACTGCCACGAGGAAGGAGCAAGATGACGTCCATGCGAGAGGTAAATGGACAGCAAAGAGCAGGACTCAAACGAGAATGAAGTATTCCTACAGGAAGCGATCGCTGTGACCGGAAAAAATAAATGAGGAGGGGGGGAGGAAGAGCTCTATCCAGCCTCGTCAACAGCCACCACGTGGTCACCGTAGAGAGAAGAAGAGAGAGACACGGTCCTCCACAGCACTCCAGAGTCCCCACACGAAGGTGGAGGCCACGTTCACTTACCCTATTACAAATGACGATGGCAACGACGAGAAGGGCAATGGAAAGGACGAGGAGGAACAGCACCACCGACAGCACTGTGAGCCCCACCTTGGAGTCTTCATCATCATCGTCACCACGTGTTGCCAAGCAACAAAACAACACGCACGCAAGACATTCCGTGATGGGCTCATTACATTGAGTTTATCGTTGCACAGTAGTCGCAAACATTCAGAACGTGTTCATGACGAAAGTGTTATTGTGACGATTCATATCATCAGGCCGCTGGAGCTGTGGTTGCAGTGCTTTTGACACACAAACAGTGGATTGCAAGTTCTAATATTAGAGCGGGGTTAACTCGGCCCACCATCCATCTAGGCGGGATAACATAGGTAACTCCTCTGAGATAAGTCAACAGCAATTGAATGAGGAATTTCCACCAGTGGCGAAAGATCGTCAGCGGAGACGATTAATGCCCCATCACTTGTTTAAGTCCGACTCGAATCGGCACTGATGACATTTTGATAAAAAAAAGTAATATGATGGTGATGATAAGCACTGTTGTGAATTGAAGTGGTGGTGGTGACGGTGGTGACTATACCCGTGTTCAGTAGGGACAGGATCTGCTCATCAGTTTGGAAGGGGTTTGTGGCCACGCAGCGCACAGCGGTTGGGGTCACCAATGTCGCGGGATCGAAGGTGATTGTGCTGCTGCTGATCCCCTTGCTGGGATCGGCCCACTCCTGCACAGATATACCCTCTGCAAAACAGAACGTGGCAGCGACGTTAATTCCTCGGGCAAAACGCTGAAGCAGATGAGTGAGGTCATTTTTTTTAATGGAAATGCTCATTGGAACCTTTGTCTGGGTTCACGTTGCTGTAGTCGAAGCCAGCAGCTGGATTGGCTCTGCGGCTTGAATTAGCGTCAGCTGGCAGGCCTGAGCCTAGCCCTGCAGGAGCTGTGGCATTGCTGACGTAGATCAAGGTCCAATGAATTGTTTCTGTGCAACTGGGGGAGGGATGAGGCACAGTAATAAACAAACACATTAAACAGTTGTATGGTAGCTTTGCGTGTGGTGGGGTAAAGTGTGCGCACACCCGCCTCTTCCAAGACATCTGGCCAGTGTGGAAGAGTAGGCCATACCAACCCTCTGGATGGTATTGGTAGAGCTAGCGGTGGCTTGGGCAAGCCATTTCTGTGCACGACCTTCTTGCCGCTCCCTATTAAACAGTGAATGCCTCATTCACAAATCACAATTAAATTTCCATAAGCCCCCGGCTCTCGCATAAACTGCGTTGCGACGTCATTTTATGTCTGTTGAAGGCAAACGGTACGGCAATCTATTCCTCTTGACGAGCCCTGCACGATGCGCTAATCAAAGTTTAAACGTTTTGTTTCTTCTGCGGATTCGCCCTCGCTTTGGCGCTTGGACGACATGAGAACAGAATGATCCGCGCCAGATGGGTTGCGGCGTTTATGTTGCGCGGTGGGATGGAGTCGCCAAAAATACGCCATAAGGTTCATTAATGGCATCCTAGAGAGACTGCAAAGCAATTCCGAATATTTGATTGGGAGAGCTGACCACTCCACCACAGCAATGTCACTGGGCATGATAACGCAGCCTGCGATCTCACACTCGGCAATAACAATAATGAGCATTTGCTTTTGTTAGGGGCCTTTCACAGTGTCTCAAGGTGCCGTGCATGAAAAGGACAAAGATAACGAAGAATAACCGAGTGGCAAAATAAGAGCCAGAGAGGAATAGAGCCGAGTTTATTTTGATTTGCAACACGAATGACCCCGTTTAGGCAGTTGCCCGGCTAAGGAACACTGGAGATCTGTAGTGCTACGTGAGCATAGCAGCAGCAGCAACAAAAACGTCGACATTACAGAGAACGAGCGCAGGGTATGTAACGGTCGTAAACGAAACACACGCGGGAGTATAAAAAAACAGTGTTTATATAATATAAATATATATAAAACATGTTTTAAAAGATGTGTTGTAGTCAGAGTTTGTTTATTTTTGCAGAGGTCATGCGTATAGACATCTAATCTGCAGGGTTATTGTGGTCAGCAAAACAGAAAGTAGGTTCATCACATATCTCCGTGCACTTTTGTGTGTTGTGCATTACTCTACTCTGGGTTTTCCGACTCACCCAAAGTAGTAAAATAGTAAAAGAGACTTGGTATTCAGTAAGGCTGACTATGAATCCTAATCAACTGGAAATTCATGCTGAGGCTAAACATTAAATTACCACTCGCAAGAGTACACTGCTGCATGCTTGTGTAATGGGTTCCGGAGACACTTGTAGAGGTAACTTCTTTATTACAATCCAACACTTCAACAGTCCTGATACTCTGTTACAGCCTAGGTACACAGCCCAGGTACACAGCCTAAATACACTACTCTGGCTACGCTCTGGAACTCGCCTCACAAGGACATAGAGCCGGGAGTTCCAGAGTCCCACCACTGGCCCTCACATCGTCCCAGGGTCCTCAGATGGCTGATCTTGGGTCTTGGGTCTTGAGCTACAACTGGCCTCGATCGTCCAGGGAGCTGCCCTTTTATGCCTCGTCCCCAACGAGGGGTGGGGTTGTGTGCGCCCCCAGATATCCCACAGAGCACACACAGCCCCCCCCCCGTTGGTGGCGCCAAGGGGCTTAAGCATCTGGGTTGCCTGGAAACCTAGCGCCTGGCGCCAAGGGGCTTAAGCGTCTGGGTTGCCTAGGGTCCCAGAGCCCCCAGCAGCCCCTCCCCTCTTATGTCACTACACTTATGTGACGGCAGAACATTAATAAAAGCTGCCCAATTCAAAGTAGTCCCAGGTCACCCTTGCAAAAGACTCAATCTGAATGAATGCTAACCTAGTTATTTAAAGATGTGAGGCACAGCCCTGCTTGCTGACAGCATCGCTGGCAGAAGGGCTTCCACGAGAGGGGACTCCAAGGGGACCCCTACAGGGGGTATTTTTGCCTATTCTTAATATTGTTCATTTTGGCTCTTTAAGCACAATTTATGCCTACATCTCTGACGCGTTCTGTTCCGATGTTGCCTGTTCCTTTGGACAGATCACTTTGATGTTGTTTTTATTCTGTGCTGATGCACCACGGATCTCCCTGGCAAACTAGCTGGGTAAGGGGCCGTCCATAAATGACGTCACGCGATTTTTGACGATTTTTGACCCCTCCCCCCCCTTCGTCACACGGCGTCACAAAAAGTCAGACCCCCCCTCAAATATGACGTCACAAAGCTCTGCCCCCCCCCCCCCCCCCAAAATAAAACATGCTTCAAATCGCTTGTCATTGTAGTGCATATTTAATGTGGCGCTGCACTCTGATGTTGTAAGAGAAAACATTTATGAAAAAATCTATTCAATTTAGCAGAACGTGTTGTCTATATTTATTTAAAGTTGCGCATTTTGACGTGACGTTTCTCAAACCCCCCCCCCCCCCATCGTCACACATCGTCACAAATGTATGACCCCCCCCCCCAGGTGCGTGACGTAATATATGGACGGCCCCGAAGTGGCTAAACGGGATGCTGCGTGCAACAAATAAACATTGGTGGATTGATTTTTCCACGCTGGGCCAGACTTCTTGGAAGAAGTAGAAGGACCCATACTTTACCCCACTCACACGTGACATGCACATCGACTTCCTGTGAGATATAAGAATACGGGAAGTCCCCGAATTCAGAAATGGTTCCGTTCCAGAGATCCGTTCGTAAGTCGAACGGTTCGTAAGTCAGAACACAATAATGTACCGTATTTAAAAGCACATACGGTCAGTGTTAAAATATGTGTTATGGTTCAACAAAAAATGGAAGCATTGTTGAACTCACAAATAAGAAGAAATATTATACATTTGCACGTAACACTGTAAATTGTTCCGTGGTTTGGTTCGCAAGTGCGAAATCACGTTGGCTAAAAAATACTTATCCAATGGAAGCTCGTTCGTAAGTAAAGATGTTCGTAAGTCAGGTGTTCGTCTGCCGGGGGTCTGCCCTTACCGTACTATATGAAGGATACCGGAATGGGATTGAGTTAACACACGCAGAGCCGTGGGCGCTCGGGCTTCCCCCGCTCGGCGCTGCTACCGACCTGTGCTGCTGGCTGCAGGCGAACCACTCGAGGCGTGGTTTGGGAGAGCCACGCGCCACGCACACCACGCGGTGCGCCCCGCTCCAGCCATTGTCGCCCTGCTCCGGGTTGTCCGACAGCTTCGTGATGGCTGCTGGCACTGAGAGAGTCAACGCCATAATTACGACCCTCCACTGGTGCCATCGTCCTACGTGATGTTTGTGTTGAATTACATATTTATACATACTCTTTGGTTTTTTCGGTAAAGTCATGTAGGTATAAAATAAAATAAATTAAATCACGACGTTTCGTGGGACAACCACAGCAAGAAAACAAAGAGTATGGATCCCTGCAGTCACGAAAACGTCAAATTACATATTTGTAAACAATGATGTTGCCGAAATTGTTTTGTGACAGTGTTTAGCTGGTTCCTTACGCTAAGGGGTTCTCTGAATGGATTATATAACATGACACTGATGGACGAGATCAGTGATGGCAGGGGTTTGAAATGTTGGTGATGATCATGATCTTGTGATGCTGCGGTATGACAAACAGTAGATTTTCCAACAAAAAAAAATGTAGAAGAAAGATTGTTGTGCTTATTTTGAGAATACAAATAAAAAATTGTGTTTATAATTAAAAACAAATCAACAGTAAATACACAACAGTAGCTCATGAAGCGTAAGAAACCCGTGGCAATGTTGACGCCTCGTTATAAAAGGGGCGTTTTACCATTGATGGACAGGTAGAAGCTGTAGCTGGCATTGCCATCGCTGTTCTCCACCACGATCGAGTAGAGGCCTTCATCGCTTAGCGCCACGCGGCTGAGGCCCAGCCAGCCGCGGTAACTGTGACGTCACCAGACAATCATCGCAGTGTCACAATAGCCACACACGGCCATCACGCCTGAAATGCCCAGCGTCGTTACTGCCACCACGAACGATTCAGATACTAAACACTTAAGTGTTAAGCACACAGAGATCGCGTATCTAAAACATAAAAAAGCCCTCTGTGTCTCGAAGCTCAAACGAGCGGCGAGTGTGCGCAGAAGACTTTGTGCATCTCCAATCGGAGGTGCAGCCACATTGTGAAAGTGTGGGGTTGTCCTACTCTCGAATGGTTCCTGACAGCATCCCTGCATCTCTGCATGAACTATGATATTGTAGTGCATGGCCATATTAGTCGTACAGTTCTTACAATCGGTGCATTCAGGTAGCGTCACTCACTGGTTATTCCGTGGATCTACAGCTTCAAAGCCAATGTGTGCGTGGCTGTCTCCATGATCGTCGGAGCGCAACCCCTTCTTGTCGTCTTGTTGGCTGTCAGGCGCAGCTTTGTCCGCAGGCTCACTTGCTCGATCGCGACGGAACGGACCTCCGCCAGTCTGCTCACTCGCAGCAGTCTGCCTGTCGTTCTCCAAGCGCCTCCCGAATCGAGCGTCCATCATTTTCTGAGCATCGCTCCGGCTGGGGTCGGTCCGACTGCTCGTTATGAGGTTATCGTTCGTCTTGCTGTCACCCGTCTGCTTGCGGCGCTTGTGGTCCGGTCCGCTACCTTCGGTCGGTTGCTTTCCTTCCTGGTGGTGACGAGCGAACTGAGCCTGATCGTTTGGGCGATGGCGGTGTTTGTTCTTGTCAAACAAGCGTCTGCCGTCTTTTGTCCAGAAGACAGAGAGAGGAGGTGGAAATGCGAAGATGTCCACCTCGTAGAGGGGCGAACTCAGGAGCATTGCAGACTCGTCGGGGCCGATGTGAGGCCGCACGCGGACAAACCCCTTGTCTGCGGAAGAACAAGTAAATGTAAGTTGATGATCACATTAGGGGCCGTCCATAAATGACGTCACGCGATTTTGGACGATTTTTGACCCCCCCCCCCTTCGTCACGCAGCGTCACAAAAAGTCAGACCCCCCTCAAATATGACGTCACAAAGCTCTGCCCCCCCCCCCCAAAAAAAACATGCTTCAAATCGCTTTAATCTATTGTCATTGTAGTGCGTATTTAATGTGGCGCTGCACTCTCATGTTGTGGGAGAAAACATTTATTAAAAAGTATATTTAATTAAGTAGAACGTGTTGTCTATATTTATTTAAAGTTTCGCATTTTGATGTGACGTCACATTTCTAAACCCCCCCCAGGTGCGTGACGTCATTTATGGACGGCCCCTAATTATATTCAAGTCAATTAGCATTCATTTTTGTGAGCACTCATATATCCAATAATTATGATATAGTAATATTAATTGCTCATTTATAATTGGACACAATCGTACAATACATTTACAACGTTTTGTATTTGCATGGTTGCTGTTAGTACTACTAGCCATAGCATCACGTGTTACGTCCTGGCTTGTCAACCAGAGTTCGATTCTCGCTCACGGCCAACATCGTTGACGAATATCTGAACATGTCTTCATCCTCCCCTAGGTCGACTCAGCCTCAAATGAGTACCTGGTAAGGTGTGCAAACATCGTCGCTGGGGAGAAAAAGGCGGTCGGACATGGTACTGGCCACCCACCCCTATATTTATGCATACCATGCCAGCCTTCATAGGCGCTCGCTAACAGAATTATCCCCAACAGTTTGTATAAAGGCTATACGGGAGATCTTTGTCTGTGTGCGGAGTACGTATCGGCGGTTCGCTTACCCAACACGGTGATGTGAGTGCTCTCGTTCGCCTGTCCGTACGAATTCTCGGTCGTGCACGTGTACACGCCGGTGTCGCGCTCGTCGGCCAGCGGCACGGTCAGCGTGTGCACGATCTGCATGCCGCCGCCAGGAATGCGCCGCTCGTGCACGCTCGTGTGCGACGTGTCCCCATCAACCTGCGCACACACCACCCACCACAAACACTGAGTCGGCATTGCATGGTGCGCATCTCCACTGGCATCATTCCTGTGAAGGCGGTGATATTTCCGTGTTTCCTGTGGTGGAGGATGAGGTGAAGAGCAAGAGGCCATCATGGCCAATTCTGATGATTCCACCACACCACACCGTTTTGTTTCTCCCATCTTTCCGCTCAATCCCACAATTGTTGTTTTAAAGGCCTACACCCACTGGTCAAGTTCCGCTCTTACAGTCTGCCAACGTCTGGCTTTAGGTATTCCCTTTAGTCTCGGCAACCTGCCCTCCTCCACACTGCATGTGTGTCCCTACCCATTGTAACCTTCTTTTACGGATGACATCTTCAATACTATCTTTCCATGTTCGACTCTAAACTGTCAAGTTGTCTCCCTAAATCGCTCCATGTAACTGTAGTGCCATAGGTGGGCCACACTTACCAGCAGTGGTGGACAGGGCCCATCTGCAGGTACCTCGGACCCCCAGGGGAGGGGCCACTGTGCCAGCCCAAGAGGGGAGGGGCTGCTGGGGGCTCTAGGATCCTAGACAGCTAAGCCCTCGGCGCCAGGCTCTGGGATCCCAGGATCCCAGACAGCTAAGCCCCTTGGCACCACCAACAGGGGGGCTGCGTGTGCTCTGTGGGGTATTTGGGGGCACACACAACCCCACCCCTCGATGGGCAAGAGGCATAAAAGGGCCACTTCCTGGCCGATCGGGGGCCAGTCGCAGCTCAAGGCCCAAGACCAGCCAGCTAGGACCCTGGACCCCCTCGTCCCGCTTGTCCTTCTAAGGACCGGGACGCTGTGCGGGCCAGTGGTGGGACTCTGGGACTCCCGGCTCTACGTCCTTGTAAGGGCGAGTTCTGAGGAAGCCAGAGTCTAGACCCGCACCTTGGCTGGGTCGGGTCAGGTAGCCTCCCCTAGGGTAATTGTAGCCGGAGGACCCGAAAGCGTAGCCAGACTAGGCTGTGCCCCTAGGCCGTGTTCCTAGGCTGTGTTCCTAGGCCGTGTTCCTAGGCTGTAACAGAGTATCAGGACTGTTGGAGTGTTGTATTGTAATAAAGAAGTTACCTCTACAAGTGTCTCCAGAACCCATTACATAACTACGAGTAACCTCTGAATGTCCCTGTGTGCAGAGGTTAGGAGCCTTCTTTCCCTTGATTTAAAGTGCATGTTTTGACATCGCATAGTGACACAGATATCACTCCAGCCTCAATCCCTCACCTTGCAACTCGGGGTGACCACTGTACTCTTCCAAACTGATGTGATTAGACCATCAAGAAAGCATTCCCTGCTAAAGGTCTACGTCGCTTGATCTGATTCTTGCAACCCTCTGTGCATTATGGCACATGCCTGCGTAAATATGCATGGCACATTGCCACGTCAAGTCCTTCACTACATTCCTATTTCCAACTGTCGTCGATCTTGTCTTAGGGAAGTTCACAATAAAACCCCAATGTTCAACATCGTTGCGTAAAACTTCAAACAGTGGCAATGTTGCCGGTCAAAGTCCTGGTTTTCGAAGTGGGGGGTACTCTACCCACAGCCCCCCCCTCCCCCCACAGTCGCCCCCCTCCCCCTCTAAGTTATTTGTGAGCATGAGATACAGCAATAGTTACCAACATGCTCATGACATGCTTTGTATGTACCGTATTTTGAACTTTTTTTGCACCATATGCAGCCGACCGTGCTAATCGGAGGTGCGGGAATTGGCGGAGCGTAAGTTGGCCCCTCTGAGTCTTATAGCCCAAATGAAAGATTAATCACAAAGTGTACATTACAAAATAAGCCCAATGGGCATTTATCGGGTAATGAATCCTGACACTTCTACTCACTGCTCGTCAATGACAATTCCACATCGTCAATCCACGCTTTCACTCTTTCTCTCTTCTCGCCCCCCTTCACTGGAACCAACGTCCCTCTCCACATTCAGCAGTCAGTCACCTTCTCTCACTAGTTTATTGTTACCTCCAACTCACCCCACGACCCCTTAATCTCCCCCTCATAACCACCACCGTTACTGTTCCCTCTTCAAATTCTCATTATAAATAAATAAAAACGATGTTTATTTTACCAGGTAAGGCACACTGAGATGTATAGAGCTATTTTTCAGAAGCGACCTGGCCACAAATGATCGCTCAACGAAGTGGCTTATCATGTGGAAATGTATACCAACCAAATAACCTAAACGCTTGTTTCTAAATGTGGAGGGTACAACCGGAGGAGCCGGAGAAAAATCCAAGTGACCACGGGAAATCTACAGCAGCAGGCGTCAGGGTTGGGATCAAACCCACGACCTCGTGCATCCCAGGCGAGGGAGAAGAACATCTCCGAGCCGTCGTGACTGTGTGTCGCTATCACTCATTCCCCATTAATTCAATCCATTTATCATAATTCACTGTCATCAATTTCGCTTTCACCGAATTCACGAATCGTCACAGATTCGCCCCCATTGCTTCCTCTCATCCATTTCATTCACCTCATCTCCACCATCACATCCACGTGTTTTATCGGTCGGAATTCTCTGTAAAGCGCCTTAGCTAAGGCGCTATAAAATTGCGTTTCGATAAGATAAGAATTGAAGCGCACATAATGATAATAATAATGGCCGAAGTACAAGTGCCATACCGGCTTGCGAGGGTGTCTCCAGGTGAACGTGACGATGTCGTTGCCCGTCACGGTGCACGTGAGCGTGATCGTGTCGCCACGCCGCACCACGGCACGTGGCGAGTCCACCACGGGATGGAGCTGTGAGACTGTGGACACACACACAGCCAGCGGAAACACACACACAGTCAGCGGAGACACACACACACACAGTCAGCGGAGACACACACACAGTCAGCGGAGACACACACACAGCCAGCGGAGACACACACACAGTCAGCGGAGACACACACACACACAGTCAGCGGAGACACACACACAGTCAGCGGAGACACACACACAGCCAGCGGAGACACACACACAGTCAGCGGAGACACACACAGTCAGCGGAGACACACACACACAGTCAGCGGAGACACACACACAGTCAGCGGAGACACACACAAAGTCAGCGGAGACACACACACAATCAGTGGAGACACACACACACACACCCAGCGGACACACACACACACACACAGTCAGCAGAGACACACACACAGTCAGCGGAGACACACACACACACAGTCAGCGGAGACACACACACAGTCAGCGGAGACACACAGTCAGCAGAGACACACACACAGCCAGCGGAGACACACACACACACAGTCAGCGGAGACACACACACAGTCAGCGGAGACACACACACAGTCAGCGGAGACACACACACAGTCAGCGGAGACACACACACACACAGTCAGCGGAGACACACACACAGTCAGCGGAGACACACACAGTCAGCAGAGACACACACACAGTCAGCGGAGACACACACACACACAGTCAGCGGAGACACACACACAGTCAGCGGAGACACACACAGTCAGCGGAGACACACACACAATCAGTGGAGACACACACACACACACCCAGCGGAGACACACACACACACAGTCAGCGGAGACACACACACAGTCAGCGGACACACACACACACACACAGTCAGCGGAGACACACACACAGTCAGCGGAGACACACACACAGTCAGCGGAGACACACACACAGCCAGTGGAGACACACACACAGTCAGCGGAGACACACACACAGTCAGCGGAGACACACACACAGTCAGCGGAGACACACACACACACAGCCAGCGGAGACACACACACAGTCAGCGGAGACACACACACAGTCAGCGGAGACACACACACACACACAGTCAGCGGAAACACACACACAGTCAGCGGAGACACACACACAGTCAGCGGAGACACACACGCAGTCAGCGGAGACACACACACACACAGTCAGCGGAGACACACACACAGTCAGCGGAGACACACACACAGTCAGCGGAGACACACACACAGTCAGCGGAGACACACACACACACAGCCAGCGGAGACACACACACACACAGTAAGCGGAGACACACACACACACACAGCCAGCGGAGACACACACACAGCCAGCGGAGACACACACACAGCCAGCGGAGACACACACACAGCCAGCGGAGACACACACACAGTCAGCGGAGACACACACACAGTCAGCGGAGACACACACACACAGTCAGCGGAGACACACACACAGTCAGCGGAGACACACACAGTCAGCAGAGACACACACACAGTCAGCGGAGACACACACCACACACAGTCAGCGGAGACACACACACAGTCAGCGGAGACACACACAGTCAGCAGAGACACACACACAGCCAGCGGAGACACACACACACACAGTCAGCGGAGACACACACACAGTCAGCGGAGACACACACACAGTCAGCGGAGACACACACACAGTCAGCGGAGACACACACACACACAGTCAGCGGAGACACACACACAGTCAGCGGAGACACACACAGTCAGCAGAGACACACACACAGTCAGCGGAGACACACACACACACAGTCAGCGGAGACACACACACAGTCAGCGGAGACACACACAGTCAGCGGAGACACACACACAATCAGTGGAGACACACACACACACACCCAGCGGAGACACACACACACACAGTCAGCGGAGACACACACACAGTCAGCGGAGACACACACACACACACAGTCAGCGGAGACACACACACAGTCAGCGGAGACACACACACAGTCAGCGGAGACACACACACAGCCAGTGGAGACACACACACAGTCAGCGGAGACACACACACAGTCAGCGGAGACACACACACAGTCAGCGGAGACACACACACACACAGCCAGCGGAGACACACACAGTCAGCGGAGACACACACACAGTCAGCGGAGACACACACACACACACACACAGTCAGCGGAAACACACACACAGTCAGCGGAGACACACACACAGTCAGCGGAGACACACACGCAGTCAGCGGAGACACACACACACACAGTCAGCGGAGACACACACACAGTCAGCGGAGACACACACACAGTCAGCGGAGACACACACACAGTCCGCGGAGACACACACACACACAGCCAGCGGAGACACACACACACAGTAAGCGGAGACACACACACACACAGCCAGCGGAGACACACACACAGCCAGCGGAGACACACACACAGCCAGCGGAGACACACACACAGCCAGCGGAGACACACACACAGTCAGCGGAGACACACACACAGTCAGCGGAGACACACACACACAGTCAGCGGAGACACACACACAGTCAGCGGAGACACACACAGTCAGCGGAGACACACACACAGTCAGCGGAGACACACACACAGCCAGCGGAGATACACACACACAGCGGAGACACACACACAGTCAGCGGAAACAAACACACACACAGTCAGCGGAGACACACACACAGTCAGCGGAGACACACACACAGTCAGCGGAGACACACACTCAGTCAGCGGAGACACACACACAGCCAGCGGAGACACACACACACAGCCAGCGGAGACACACACACAGTCAGCGGAGACACACACACAGTCAGCGGAGACACACACACACAGCCAGCGGAGACACACACACAGCCAGCGGAGACACACACACACAGTCAGCGGAGACACACACACACACAGTCAGCGGAGACACACACACAGTCAGTGGAGACACACACACAGTCAGCGGACACACACACACACACAGGCAGCGGACACACACACACAGTCAGCGGAGACACACACACAGTCAGCGGAGACACACACACAGTCAGCGGAGAACACACACACAGTCAGCGGAGACACACACACAGTCAGCGGAGACACACACACAGTCAGCGGAGACACACACACAGCCAGCGAAGACACACACACACAGCGGAGACACACACACAGTCAGCGGAAACACACACACACAGTCAGCGGAGACACACACACAGTCAGCGGAGACACACACACAGTCAGCGGAGACACACACACAGCCAGCGGAGACACACACACACAGCGGAGACACACACACAGTCAGCGGAAACACACACACACACACAGTCAGCGGAGACACACACACAGTCAGCGGAGACACACACACAGTCAGCGGAGACACACACACAGCCAGCGGAGACACACACACACAGCCAGCGGAGACACACACACAGTCAGCGGAGACACACACACAGTCAGCGGAGACACACACAGTCAGCGGAGACACACACACAGTCAGCGGAGACACACACACAGTCAGCGGAGACACACACACAGTCAGCAGAGACACACACACACACAGTCAGCGGAGACACACACACAGTCAGCGGAGACACACACACAGTCAGCGGAGACACACACACAGTCAGCGGAGACACACACACAGTCAGCGGAGACACACACACACACAGCCAGCGGAGACACACACACACACAGTAAGCGGAGACACACACACACACAGCCAGCGGAGACACACACACAGCCAGCGGAGACACACACACAGCCAGCGGAGACACACACACAACCAGCGGAGACACACACACAGTCAGCGGAGACACACACACAGTCAGCGGAGACACACACACACAGTCAGCGGAGACACACACACACAGTCAGCGGAGACACACACACAGTCAGCGGAGACACACACAGTCAGCGGAGACACACACACAGTCAGCGGAGACACACACACAGCCAGCGGAGACACACACACACAGCGGAGACACACACACAGTCAGCGGAAACACACACACACACACAGTCAGCGGAGACACACACACAGTCAGCGGAGACACACACACAGTCAGCGGAGACACACACACAGTCAGCGGAGACACACACAGTCAGCGGAGATACACACACACAGCGGAGACACACACACAGTCAGCGGAGACACACACACACACACAGCAGAGACACACACACACAGTCAGCGGAGACACACACACACACAGCGGAGACAAACACACACAGCGGAGACACACACACAGTCAGCGGAGACACACACACAGTCAGCGGAGACACACACACAGTCAGCAGAGACACACACACACACAGTCAGCGGAGACACACACACAGTCAGCGGAGACACACACACAGTCAGCGGAGACACACACACAGTCAGCGGAGACACACACACACAGTCACAGGCAGAGACACACACACAGCCACAGGCGGAGACACACACACAGTCAGCAGAGACACACACACACAGCCACAGGCGGAGACACACACCCAGCCACAGGCGGAGACACACACACACAGTCAGCGGAGACACACACACACAGCCACAGGCGGAGAAACACACACACAGTCAGCAGGGACACACACACACAGCCACAGGCGGAGACACACACACACAGCCACAGGCGGAGACACAGACACACACACAGCCACACGAAGAGACACACACACAGTCAGCCACACCAGGAGACACACACACAGCCACACCAGGACACACACACAGTCAGCCACACGAGGAGATACACACACAGCCACACGAGGAGACACACACACAGTCACACGAAGAGACACACACACACAGTCAGCCACACCAGGAGACACACACACACACACACAGCCACACCAGGACACACACAGTCAGCCACACGACGAGACACACACAGCCACAGCAGGACACACACACACACAGTCAGCGGAGACACACACACTCACAGTCAGCCACAGGCGGAGACACACACACACAGCCAGCCACACCAGGACACACACACACAGTCAGCCACACCAGGACACACACACAGCCACACGAGGAGACACACACACACAGCCACAGGCGGAGACACACACACACAGCCACACGAGGAGACACACACACAGCCAGACACACCAGGAGACTCACACACACATCTCACTGGAGTGGTATTGTGCCCGTCAGCACATCTTAAGCACTAATGTGTACCACATGCAGTGAGCTGGTATTCATGGCATTGCGTCTGCTAGTTTGCAAACAGATACGATACTGGAAAGATCAATTGTGTCTCAATGTGGAGCTGATATCACCGGAGATGTAATTTATTATTTTGTATAACTACCAGGTGAAATTATTGTATCTTTAGATGTTCTTTCTGTCGTTTCCCTGGTTGTGTTCCCGGTGCGCTATGAGATGAGTGTCGTGAAACAGAGAATCCATTTGGAAATCTAAACAGAGCAGTTCCGAGAACCATTTCCAGACATTCTTCTGAATAATCTTGATTTGAAGCTTTCGTGACTGCAGGAATCCATACTCTTTGGTTCTTTCGGTAAAGTCACGCAGGTAGAAAATAAAACAAATCACGACGTTTCAGGCGCAACACTGTTTAAAACAGTCTGCCTCAGCAGTAGACCACGCTTTCCCACCTGATGATGGACGCTTGTGTTGCACCCGAAACGTCGTGATTTTTTTTATTTTATACCTACGTGACTTTACCGAAAGAACCAAATAGTACTCTTCTGAATAACCTTACAACTGGCCTTTTTTAAATAACACCAATCTCAACACACTACGGTGGGTATTTGCACACATATTCTTCTATGAGATTAATGTCTGATGCATTACACTGAAACCGACATTTTAATTCCACTTGTCGATGAAAATGATGCGGCATTAGAGGCGTGTCCTGGGAAAAAAATTGATAATCCACATATTTACAATTTTAAAGATAATCTACGCAGGCCTCATTGGAACACTTTACAACCCATTTCCGAAATTGTCATCACCATGCGTCATCTCCCCCACACAGATGGCTGGCTACCCAATAACTACTCAAAAGATGTCTTCCTTTATCCACTTCTTCCTACTACTCTCAACGAAATGCTGCTAGATGGACAATAAGATTGTGTGTGGGTTATCAAGTTTTTTTGTGGGCCCCCCCCCCCCGTGACATTCCTCGGTTGCGCTGCAGTCGGTGTGGACGGAGGTGATTGCGCTGCGCACCTGCGAGCACCATCACGTGGTACTCTTCCGACTCCTGCGTGCGTCCCTCCAGACGTGCGACGCAGCGGTAGCGCCCGGGCAGCAGGTTCGCCTGCAGGCCCACGCCGGGCACGTACCACGCTGCCCGGGGGGTTCCCGCACTCGGCACCGCGGCAGCGAACGACACTCCGCCGGATTCGGTGGAGTGGACGGTTGTGACATTCGAAGACGGCCCTGTGCTCGCCATAGCATTGGAAGGAGGCACTCCGGCTTTGCCATTAATTTTGTCTTCGAGCTTTTGGATGTAATCAGCAGGGTTCACGATGGGGAGCGGCTGCTTTTGAAGTGCATTGCTGGGGGTGTTTGAGGAGTGCGCACTTTGGTTTGTGGCAATTTGGTGTTGCGGCGTTTGGGCGCTACGTTGCATCTGGCGGGTGACACTTTCTCCCACTGCGACGTTGTTTCTGTGCGTGGTTGCGGACAGTCGAGGCGGCATGCTGCTGCTGCTGCCGCTGCCAGGCGCGGCGGCTGCTGGGGCGGCGTCGTGACGGAGCGACACCGCCGTGCGTGGCGAGGTGACGAGGCACGGGAGAGTCGCCACGTCCCCCGCGTGCACGATCACCACCTGCGCGTGCTCACTCCGCGAGGGCACGAACAGCGAGCGCCCGTCTGGAAAGCGCACGGCGACGAGCAGTGTTGGAACCTTTGCGGCGAGGAATCCTAATATCGAGTGAAATATCACTCCGAGTGGAAAACGTTTTTTTCAGAGACGTCTCGAGGGCAGTCGTATCGCGCTGTCGGGAAAGAGTTCCGTGTTCCCGTCAATAAAGGAAAACGATTCCCCATTTTGACCGGATGGATTGGCAGGGTGGGTTGCCACTTTTCCTGGTTTTCCCAGTACCGTCTACCTGTTAAGGTAGCTGTCCTTGGGAAATCCATTAATAACATTCAAAGTCCCAATTACATAGTCACCCCAAACACATGAAGTATGTCACTTGATTCACAGCATGTCCCTTCTGCACCTCCTTCCCCACACCCCTGATCTGCCCTTAGAATGCTGGTTACTTCCTCCCCACCCCTCTTTCCCTCCCTCATCCCCCGTCGGAAGACCCCCTCAGGGTGGTGGGCACCGGGCATTCCTCCCCACACCTAGACGTGTTTGTTCAAGCGCCGAAAATCTCCCCCAAGAAACCATCGACGCGTTGTATCGGACTTGCGCGCTCACCATAATAGAAAACATTGCAGAAAAACAGTCCCAATTACACATTGTTCTTCTGCCTTCTTATGTCCACGACGTGTCCTCGTTTTTTGTCCCTTCAGAGGTGGCAACACTGCTGCCATAACAGGAACGTTCAGTGAACAACTGTTTAGGCTATCAAGGAGTTGGTGTGGCGAGAAATACGCCGGCCACCTTAAGTTACCCATTTGAGGTCGAGGATAGGGAGTGATTGCACTTAGCACTGAGATGCAGGTCAGATATAAAACCCAAAGTGCGAGGGATTATTCACGTAGTTAAACAAAAAACAAAACGTATTTTGCGAACAAAACATCTCATTTACCGAACTTAAAAAGACCGTCGTAAAAACACGTTTCTTCATTGACACAGGGGACGATGCTGATGATGATGGTCGTGACATTAATGATGACGTGAAACTTACCTTGCACATAAACTCTCACAGTGGCACCTCGTGCCTCTGTCCCATCAGTGGCGTCAGCTTCGTCGTATCTACTCATGTCTTCGTGATGGTACTGACACGTGTACACACCATTGTGTTGCAGCGTCGCATTCTCAATTCGTAGCCAAGTTGAAAACAAGCCGAATTCAGGTATGGCTTCCGTCTGAAAATGAAGATGTCAATAATGTCATACAATTTTGTGACGTGCAGAAAGGTTCAACAAGAAAGCCTCATAATCTGAAGACCTTTTTATGAGGTTCCCGGAGTTTGGTTTTCACCTCCACATATAGAAACAGTATTTGGCTGCAATACATTTCCACGTGATACGCCACTTAATTGAGCGAGCATTTGTGGCCAAGTCGCTGCTGCAAAAGAGCTATTTAGCTCAGTGGGCCTTACCTGATAAAATATATATTTTTAAATATTTGGGTAAATTATATTTACAAGTTGCATGTGGGAGGAAAATGGAGTATCTGGAGAAAATCTATGCATAGGAGGGGATAACACCCAAAGCTCCGCACAGATAGATTCAAAATGTCATTGCTGTACTTCCATCTCCTGGCCATCTAATAGCCCAAGGCGATAACAACTGGAATTCACTGGCAGTCTCCCATCAATAAGATATCTAGCTCCAGTTATTGCATTCACTGCTTCCATATTACCACGAAAAACATCACCTCACTCCAACATTCTACTTGATAATGTATTTTACAAAGGATTCCGGTTAATGATTTTACTTAAACTCCGAAATAAGCAATATTAATAAAGTACGTGAGTACATATCGATCGGGATCTAACTGAACTGATAGAGTATCAGGCTGCCAAATACGAGTGCCAAGTTCAAATCCTGGTCACTGTCATCCCAGCCGATCATCTCACTCGAGTGAGCACAACGTGGAGCAGCTGCCATCTGTGATCACAACGGCGTGGCATGGACCGCTTGCAACACAACGCAGGGCCGTGAATACAGGCAGCAGCGTTCATATTTGTCATGAACTTAGCGACGAAAATATTATTTTTGTAACGAAGAGTTGAATTTACTGGAGTCAACGATGACTGTGAGCGGTTGAGATTGGTGATCCATTACGACGAGTACGAATGCTGCCCTGCACCAAGGATCAACGCAGAACTGGCCGTGACGGGATTCCGTTCGTCTGAATGAAGACGCGGGTGAAGATACTTTAGTAAAGTTATTTAGGTAATCGGCTGTATATGGGCGTATTGGCGATGTTGCCCTTGAGTGAGGTGCAGACTCTCTATCAGCGGTTGCTTGAGATTCAGCAGCTGCTTTGCCATTCAAACGTAGGCTACCACGAGTCGTAATATGTTGATGCCACCGTCAGCCAAGAAACGATTCTGGAAATGAATCGCAAAACCGTCCGACCAAATCTAGGGCACGAGGAGTCAAATCTTGCCCTTGGAACAAGCAGCAGACAGTGGGCATCAGGCTGGGTGCTGCTTTATGGTATTAGACTGTGAAGCTTCGTGTTAGCTGCTCATAACATTCGTCGTCCGACTATTTAGACATCACGAGAACTGATGTTGACGTTCCCCTCAAACTTTATGACCACGGTTGCGAATCTCAGGAAAATAAAAAAATTATTGCAAAGATTTATTTTCTTTTTTTATACCACGCACCAGCGTACAGACCTGGTAATGGGGGGGGGGGGGCAGATGTGCGTCCCTCACACCAACATTTAATAACTAAGAGTGGACTAAATCTTTGACTGCTTTTAGTTGACGAGATAAAGTGAATGATTCAATGAAATCCACAGACTGAGATACGACTCGAATTTCGACTAGAATAAGACTGTGACCAAAATGTAATCAAATGCTGCCTAAATGGAATACTGGTAGATAAGGCATTATTACCCAGAGCTCTTCTCAAAAAAGGGGAGACTGACAATAAATTGAATAACACACCAGTGTTAACATCAACAAATGTGTGAGTATGAACTATCATTCCGCACCTCCGATTTGCACGGTTGGCTACGTATTGTGCAAAATAAGTTAATAATACATAAACACATCACATCTGTCAAGAAAAAAAATAAATGGTGATATTCAAAGTACAGTAGGCTCGATTATCCGCGCTAATGGCAAGGATAATCCGAAAAAATAACCACTTTCCGTGGATCGCGATGCCAAAAACCACGAATAAAGGTATAAATGAGCAATTGATGCGCGTGCTCAGTGATAACAACTTTCCTGCTCCCGCGCAGAAGACTCGGCCCACTAAGTGGACGGCAGAGCCACGCCAATCAACGTCAATCAAACTCCGCCCACTGTTGTAAAGACCTGAAACTACTGTACTGTAGAGGCGGTCACGTGGATTTCGGATTATCCGGAGCACAAATTTGTGGGGTTTATGCACGTGACTTGTAATAAACATTTCAAAGAATAATAATGTGTAACTGTTTTTAGATTATTCATTTGGGTTTAAGGGAAATGCCATGAGTTATTCACTCATGTAAAAATCTCAGGTGAGCGGTTAATCCGTAAATCGGATAAACCGCACGCGAATAATCGAGGGTCTACTGTAATGCCTTTATATGAGTTTTAGACACGATGTGGGAATGTGGCCTAACGGTGAGCATCTGCTTGCCCTCGCCACTGACTCAGACGAGGCATGCCCACCGCACACCCGCAGAGCAGGCTGATTGCTCATAATTGCCTGCTGTGTAAACTAGGAAACGTGACTCAACTCAGTTGCATGTTCGCCACCAATTGCAATACGGGAAGCATAATTTACACGTAAATTTAATAGCAGAGGCTTGAAGCAGAGGTGGGACAAAGTCATTGTTATGCAAGTCCAAGTCGAGTCTGAAGTCATCAAATTCATGACTCGAGTCTGACTCGAGTCCAAGTCACATGACTCGAGTCCACACCTCTGGCTTGAAGTAATTGTGCACAGAGAACGTCATGTCCAACCCAGGGGCGGTTTCTTCATTAGGGCGATTGGGCGACGCACCACCAATGTCATTCAACCACAGAGTCACGCTAGCCGTCACTGTGCAGCCTCTGGATATAGTCCAATCAGCGTCATGTCACGTTCTGTGGAGTACCGCCTCTTTTGGGGCGATTTCACTCCGGCCGAGAATCGCCCCGAGTGGCCCCATAGACTTACATTGAAAGATGTTTTTTTTCGAACGGGGGCGCTCCAATGCATTCTCTATGGCCTCCGGGAGGGCTCGCCCTAACGTGCTTACGTCATCATACGTGCTAACGTCATCATACGTAAGCACGTTTCATCCAACAATATAATTTATCGCTACCTAGTGGAATCTTTAATAAAATAAACTTGAGTGGTTTGTTTTAATAGTGAGTATATAAACAATCAAGATGTATTGTAAGAGTCACTTTATTTTTCATTAATATTAAAGAAGTGAAGTTGCCTTTACATGCTTAAGCTGTTAATTTATTCATTGCATGGGTGGACCTTATCCTTATCAATCATCCAGACATTTGCCCCCCCTGAGAGATTTTGCAGGAGCCGCCACTGGTCCAACCAAAACATTCTGTATATACAAACATGCTAATGCTGCTGTTTTGTCCTTTACAAACCCATGTGTAATAAAAGGACTCGGACACTTCCTTCTGTCTTCGTGTCTTTTATTGGGTTCTCGTCCTCACCCACACGGCACTCTGTTATAACTCTGTATTTGTAGCCCCCGGCTATTCACTGCTATTATAGCTCCTTCTTCCCTCTGACTCTCCGCTTCATCTACTGTAACCTCCTCCCTGCAGACTCGCTGCTACCTCTATGCAGACTCCCGCTGCTACCCCTATGTGCAGACCCTCTGGCTGCTACCGTATGCAGACCCGCTGCTGACTCTGTATGCAGCCCCGCTGCTGACTGCAGCCTCCTCGCTGCTTCGGGTCGGTCACCGCTGGCCAACGGTGCCGATCCTCGCTCCCCCGTGTTCGTGGCGATCTCGCCACCCTCCGCTTCGCCCTTCGTGGCCTCTCTCTGTTCCTGGTTCCCCGTCACTCCCCATCCTCTTCCGGTTCCCCTCCTTCTATACTCAACCCCTCTCCCCCCCACGTGACCTAACTCCTCCCCTCATGACGGCACCTCCGGAGGGCCGTTTACACCCGCATTACATCACCCTCCCCCATAAAGAAAATCCAGCCGACCTCGGCTGAATTGCAACCTGAAAAGCAATGCGGGTGTAAAGGGCCAACACGTAAAAAGACACGAAGCATGCAAGAACAATATAACAATGAACACAACACAACACAATCTAACGAAACGTGAGGGATTTCGAGCGAGTACGGGTAGCCGGGCCGTCCCGGACGGTCGGCAGCCCACCCGCCGAGCGGGAACGTGGAAGGGTTTTAGGGGCGACGGGCGCAAGTTCTTCCGTCGCCATTGGAGGCCCGCCACTGTCCCGCTCGCGTCCAGAGACATCCCGTACTCGCGTCCGCGGAGGGATAGGAAGAGCTGCAGGTCCCGTGGGTTCCGCGGCACCGGTCGGCATCCCACGAGCGGAACGTCCTCCTCCCTGCGCTGTCACAGCCGGCATTGTTTGTGAAGGGTACGACAGGCGCTTTCGCAAGGTCAGCAGACACAGGCAAGGGCGAGTCGGCAGCAACAGACCCCGGCAAGGCAACTTCGGGAGATGACGCATCCGGCCGCGGGGCAATGTATGGCTTCAACCGGGATGTATGCACGAACCAGCGCCGCGAACCAACCTGAACACGCGCCGACTGTGGGTTGGGAACCTCAATGAGGCGGACCGGACCTTGCCACGGTTTGTGTAATTTAGGAGAGGTACCTGGCCGCACCTGTGGGCAATGAAGCCAGGCCAGGTCCCCCTTCTTCCAGGGGCACTCCCCCTTCGAACGTCGGGCACACCGCTCATTCCTGGCCTGAGCTTTGGCTGTAGCCATGCGGGCTCTTTCCCTCGCCTCAGTGACACGGCGAACGTTGTCCCGAATATACTCAGGAAGAGGCTTAACAGGCCCCCTCGCACCGGTTCCCAACTGCTCATTAATCGGCGGCACATTCTCACGGCCGTACATAAGGAAGAACGGCGAGTATCCAGTAGCCGCGTGCGGCGTCATGCGATACGCCGAAAGCACCCCAGGGATATGCAAATCCCAATCAGATTGATTTTCCCCGACTGTATGGCACAGCATGGCGGACAGAGTCCGATTCAA